TTGTCTAACGGGATAAGTCATTATTTTCGACTAAAAAAAAGCAAGCGACAGCGATAAGGAGCAGATAGTGATCTTTACATATCTTCAAACATCTACCAAGACCCATAAGAACCCACTGGAGTCTACCAGAAGCCAGTAGAATCCAGCAGAATCCACAGAATCCACAGAATCCACGAGGAGCTGCCAGAATCCACTAGGATCCATAGAATCCACCAGGATCCATAGAATCCACCAGGATCCATGAGGAGTCGCCAGAATCCAAGGAGCCAGGAGCCGCTTTTCCCCCCTTGACTCGGTTTCTAAAAGAATCATAAAGGATTATTGTTTTCTTCTGCGTCTATGACCATATTTCTCTGTATACACGGTCGTAAACAGCCATGTGTTATCTACTAATTGGTTAGTGACATGGCTAATAAAGCTTTAGGAAATAATAAAAAACTTGTGTTTGCTTACTCTTCAAAGTAGCTGAAACGGCACTCACAATAATGATATGCTAAGGAAGTAAATAAGTATATTAAACACTGTCATGGCTGGTTGGGACTCTTGAAAAAGTCGGAAAAATCGGTTAGGCATAAAATTCACTTCTGTGTAACCTAATTTGAAGACAGAAACAAACGGTTTAGAAGGACTATATTGAAATTCGCACGAGTAAAGCATTAAATTAAACTTGAAAATGACTGTACTCCTTAAAACCTTTATAATGGGGTGTGTGAGAAGCCATAACCTACTGCAAAAACATCATGTGCAGAGCCTTATATATTATTACGAGGAATTCATTCTTATCAGATACGGTAGTGACGTCAATCGTAATATGATACTTGCGCAGTTGTTGCTCCAGAAAAAAAAGGTAAACATTTAAGATCAGACGCAATCTAACATGCGTTACTACCACTTAACAGATAGCTTATAAGAATAAATTAGGGCTATATAAATTAACTCAACTGATAAATGGGCTCTTTCACCGAAAGGGACATACCCTAAAAACAAAGCACATCTCATCGAAGAAAATGCGAAAATTAATTTTTCATCTATTATCGAAATCATTTGCTTTTTACTGATGCATTCAATGACTCACGTTATAAAAGAGCACCAACGATTGTCGACATGATAAAACATTGCCTCTCACTCTAACTAGTAGTATGCCAGAAGCGAAAACATATTATAAAGCCTTACAGAACACACCATAGTTTTAGGGTGTTGCATATGTATGTCATTATGATTGTGTGGGTTTAAGCATGAATGCGATAAAAATGCACAAGCGTTTATGATTTTCGATCTTGTATTCAGGGGTGGCGCGACTGTGTGTGTGTGTGTGGGTGGGGGATGTTACAGCCCCGGCACCTCTCTGGTCGCGCCACCCCTGCCCTTCGTTATTCCACTTCGTTTACACTTGAATAAATATCAATTTTCTCACTTTTCTGTGGATCCCTAGATTTTTTTCAAGAAACAAACTGAACATCGCGGTCGAATAACACATTCTGCATAAAATTCATACAAAACCACATTGTTTAACTCCAATACCATAGCAAACAGGCCAAGAAGATGCTGCTTAAATTTGATATA